AAGCGAATGAATGGGAAAACTAATTCACAAGGAAATTTAGAAACGATGGTAGTATATCTTTCTTGGATGTTCTAGTTAGTAAAGCGGAAACTAAATTGTACAGCAATTCCTAAACTATCGCATTTCTTTATAAGTACTTTTAGTATCATTCTGGTAAGGCCAAAATTTGAATAGTGAAACCTATGATACTCGTAGTAGTTAGTGCATTTTAGATGTTAACAACAGATAATTGAGGCAATAACGTAGAATTTTGGCTGTGAATACATATCTATTCAGACGGATTGACAATTATTTGAGAATATTAGCAAGTGGGATGGAAGAAGACACCTATTTGGGGGTTAGATAAGAGGTTGGACCGCTATACTAGGGTCCTGACGCTGCCAGCCTGTTCTTTCAGAGAAGATACAAGCCCATCTACAAATCTCTCCCATTTCTATCTTCAACAACCTAAATTTATTAAGAGATTCTTTTAAACTCATTCAGTTAATTAATACCAATTTCGAATTTCCTGCTATTAGACTATTCGTCTCATCTGCGCCCCAGTTAGATTCGCACCGTGAACAATGGGGATTGGGAGCAATCGTCTTATTAACATTTTATTAGCTACACTACTTATTTTGTCATTAGTAATATATATTTATATATATAACAAGAAAAATTTAAGATATAGATGGATATAGAAAGGTTTGGTTAATTCACGTATACCCGAGTTTGGGTGTGTGCTTATGTATGTTAACGTCTATACGCAAAACCAGTCATAACTCAGATCAATTAGAAAAAGGCTTAACGTCCACCCCAGGTCATTAAGGCTAAATGATTCAATGAAAAAAGGATGATAGAGATTGCGTTAGTCCGTAAGTAGCCCCGGGTAAATTGATGAGATGCACGCGTTAAAGTTTGGATCACCAGTACTTTGGCCTTACAGGGTAGATAGAGCTAGACTGTCAGTGTAAGTCAAAGAAATGCTATCGTATCATCCAAGTTAGATCAGTTTCAACCTTAATTAGGCCCTCGGTGAGAGCAAGTCTCATATATATTTAATCAACAAGGACGATCATTCTTATTCACTTAGTGTTCACTTAAGGCTTTTGCGAGAATGAGTCCCAGCTCTGACGATGCTCGTCATGTGGCATGACGAACGAGACCTCAGCCCATCTTCGCCCGAAACGTTGGACGACGTCTCGTGGACTACATCAACCTGAACGTCGTATTAAGTCCAAAGGGCTGAAGTAAAGCACGAATCAGCCGTCGCCTTCTGGTGAGATCGAGCAACGAATAACTTCATCATGTACTTCCATATCAAATGAAAGTCTTCACAACCATAGTGGTGATCCAGACTGATTTAGCGTCATCTAGCTCTATTATTTTAACCTATTTTGAGAGTCTTTGTCTCGAGATTCCTTGATCGTGACCTCGAGAAGGAAGCCCTGATAAAATAGTGAGATTTTCCTGCAAAACTTTTGCCCTGACGCAGCTATTTTAACCTCAGTTACCATGCTCAGGCTATGGTGGAGGCAAGTCTTTTTGGTAAAGACGACAAACCGACAAAGTCTCGCAAAACCTTGATGACGGATGCCATCCAGTTTCGGGTCGAGAGTTGCGGCCTGGCCCCACAAATGCTGCCTACTGGAGAGATGGTACCGGCAGTCAACCAACTGATGAAAAACAAACACTCGAAACTACTTTTTCAGGTGGGTTGAATTGAGAGAGTGACTGCAAGATGGCTTGGATAACGAGATTACCAGCTTTTGCGATATTAAGGAACACCGGCTCTTGTTTGCTTGGATAATCGTGTCGACTGAGAAGTGATTGCATGCGATGTTA